TTTTGTCAGTCATTTTTGGTCAGTCCCCTGCCCAGACCTTGGCTGTGTCAATATGTGAGAATCCCAGGCCAAACTACAACGACCATGCTTGCTTCTGGAAGGCTAAAGGAACCATGACGCTGTAAATCAAGGTATGGTTGTAATGAGTCCCCAGACTGAAATGACAAGTGCAATGACAAAATAATGACTCACCAAATCTATAGGGTTAGCCAAGTGACAAAAAATGACAAAACAATGACAAATCCAAACCACCGTAAAATGACAAAAAAATGACAAATGAATGACAAAACACTTATTTCAAGATTTCCAACCTCTAGCTAGAGGCCAAAGATTTTCATAATGCATGCCATGTTCTTATTGTTTAGTCTGCACGCAATTAGTTAGTCGGGCTTACCATGTGCCTACTTGAAATTGGGCCCAAGGCTCCTGTAGCAAAGGCAGAAATCTTTGTACGGCCTCTTTTTGAGCTCCACCTTTTGTTTGGCTATGGCGGGGCATCTAGGGCGTGAGAAGGATTTCCTTGCGGTTGACTTGACCAGTCACATCAAAAGGAGCCGTAGTCCTGAGAAGTGCCCAAGTGGAGACCTCAAGAGCGATACCAGCAATATTCCTACGCATTCCTATGGGGAAGGGCATATTATTACCATCCATCCCAGAATCTCAAACTGAATTTGCCGTTGTGTACCTCCTTTTGAGGGAGATGTTCGATGGATACTTTCCGCCTTAAGAAAATCTAGGAGCTTTGGATAGGTTTTTGTTGAGGTGTTCCATTGCTCAAGGACTAGGTTGAAGAATGTGTGGATTTACTCACTGATCCTTAGTAGGGAATAAGGGAATATGATCCTACATATATATATATATACATATGTATACTATCGTCTCATGCCTACTAAAAACGAGCAAGTTTAAGACTAGAGGCGGGCACTTGTGGTAAAGGCTGTCAGCGTGGCACCAGGGGTGGCTTTGTCAACGTTTCAACTGGAGGCTACTAAGGGTGTCCCTCTATCCACGGTTTGAGATGTCGAGCTGTTGCATTGTAACCCCTTCCCATCCCCTAAGGGGGCATGGAAACTACTATATTATAGGGTTACATAGGGATTATTCATGGATTATGAAAAAGAAAATCAGGGGAGCCTATGCTGACCAGGGTAGGTCTGACCAGCTTTCTCGAGAGGCTTTTGCATGCCATATCTACAGCACTCTAAACCTCTCTAAGCCCTTCGAAAGCACTCTAAACCACTCTAGCTTTTGAGCTTCATACTTGGATGTTGAAAAACAATGGAATTTCCATTGAATTTCGCAACATTCACTCAAAACATTCCACATGTTGGACTTCAAAGCAAGTGGTCCCTGAGACGGAGCATTGGCTAAGGGGATCTTGGGGCGAACAGGTTCGGTGTGGGTAGGTTGCTCGAGCATTGTGACATGGAGGTACATTGAAGTGGCTCAGGAGCTACACACAGCTACAGAGACACAAGCTTGCACCGTTAAACAGTCGCTGCCTAAACTCCTCGGAAATCCCACGGCGCAATTGAAAACTCACAGACCCTCTGCCCGTCACCCAGCGCGGCAGCCGGAGTCCGGTGAACTCTGGGCTGGCTGTTGGGGAGGCTTGGGGTGGTGCCTGCTGTGCGGTTTGGAATGGAATCCTTGAGGGTTTTCGGAGGATTTTGGGTGGGTGCTGGAAGGGGCTTAGAGTGTTTTAGAGGAACCTGGTCACACCCATCGTTCTATGGTAGACTGCAAGAGAACCTGGGGTATGACCGGGTTTCTCTGAAACACTCTAAGCCTCGCCAAAGTTCCAGCCAAAGTTCCAAGCGGGCACCCAAACCAGAACCCTCCCCCAACTTCCTCCAATGCTGGCCTGCCCACCCCAAGACCACTCTACATTACCCTGTGGTAAGCTCCTGCTACGCATGGGAGCCTCTGCTAGAAATCGCACTGTGCTGCTGAAATTTGAGCCGCACCGAGCTCGCGTGCTGAACGACCGCCATTATCCTTCCTGTTGGACCTCGCGCTCTGGAATGGAATGATTCTGGTTGATGGACCTGACACTATGAAAATCAACGTTTTGCTTCATGGATCAACACTGTTTCCTATGATTTAGGGCTTAGGGTCGTGGATTTGGATGCCTTTGGGCGATTAGCTTGATGCTGTGACCTTCTGCTTCTGTAGTTGGTGAGTTGGCTCCCATATAAAGCCACTATAACATGCTAGAGAGACCTAGCCAACCAAAAGGGGTCACCATGGGATCCCCTGAGAAAATGGAAGCTGCCATACATTTTGTGTTTTGTGTGGGCTGCCTTGCGAAACAAGCTGCCTGAGAAGCAGGGGGTGCCTCTTTGGCGCAGCATAGCACGTCCTTTTAGCAGGAGATGTACTACCCACTTGTGAGGCAAACCCGAATAAGCCAAAGACGTTACAGAGGACGCCTATACCGTCGTGTTCGAAGAGACGATGCATACCATGCGAAACCTGGCAGGGCGCTCATGGGCATGGTGCCTAGGGTTTTCTGCCCCCAGTAAACATGGAGGATATAGGCCCCTGATGCAGGGGACAGCAGTCTTTGTAGGGCCCCTGTTTAGCTTTCATGTAAGGCGCATATCATGATGTGATTGACGAGTCTCCTGACCTGTGGGTCATTTCTGACACTTTGCCAATAGTAGGGGCAGCCAGATCGGACCCCGTAAGCCCCAAGCACCTCACACCGAGACCTGTCAACGCCTTCATAGCCATAGAACCTATACATAGGGATGTGTTGTGAGTAAGGCTATTAAATTCATGTTTGAATAGGAACAGTATAACAGTACAAGATGATGCAAGATTTGTAGGAATAACAATGCTAACAGTGGATAAGTCGTCAAGGGTTCAGGGTTTGGGTCCCAGGCAGCTCCTGTTCTTGCAGTTCTATGTTTGCAGCACCTGGGCCCCAAAAGTAATTCCCTCCCCTAACATTAAACGCCCCCACCCGGCCTGTTTTTGAATATTCCCATTATATTATGACATACCATACTCCGAGTATTTAATATTAGGGGTGGTTGCTATTAGGGGGAGGTGATTTGGTAGAATCATGGCATAATACCCAAAATGGTCGAGAGGGCCATTAATTACTCTACATATTTCGCGGTTCCAGGTGACGGCAGTTGCAACCCAGAGACGTGTGCCTCAATCTGACCACTCGCGGATGACTGATTGTTTCTTATAGGCCTGACAAAGTCAAAGTCTGAAACCCACAGGGCTTCGGGTGCAGGGCCTAGACTCTGAAATCTCGTGCCACAAAATGCGCAAGTGCCCCGGCCCTCCCAAGTATAAAATACTCAATCCCCAGACAAGCTAAGATCCGGCCAAAGTAGCATGCCCTCATGTAGATTGTTGCTAGACTCCCAGGCCGTCGCCAAAAGTCCTCGTAAGCTAGAACCCAAGCAGATGACCTGAAACCTCAAACTCTAAACTTCTAAACCCTTCAACACCAGAGGATGAAGCCCGCAAGCCCGATACCTAAACCGAAGTAGAACACACATACCCTCCAAGGTCTATTGCGACCTTGGTTGGGGTGATTCGGCTGCTGCGGACCTATCCCTGGCAGTGCAGGCAGTTCACTTTCCAGCCGCATGGGTTCGCAGTCTTAGGGCGTGCGGAGAAACACGAGCTTAGCCTTCTGTGGGCACAGGTATCTGTCAGCCTTCGGCTTAGGGCATTGGAGCTTGAGATTGAAGTATTGCAGGAGCCTTGCATGTGGTTTATGTAAAGTAATGTGGCACCCGCTTTAGTG